ATCTGCTGGGCTCAGGTGATCAATTAAAACAGAGTCAACATAATATTAAAAAGTATAAAAGCAACAGGTGCTGGTCAGGCTGCAGAGAAAAGAGAATGCATCTACACTGCTTGGGGGAATTAAGCTGGTTCAACCTTTTTAGAAAGCAGTGTAGTGTTTTCTCTAAGCACTAAAAATGGAGCGACAGCAAGCTCATTTCCAGAGAAACATAAATCATTCTACCAAAAAGACACCTACACAAACATGTTCACTGCAGCACTACTCACAGTAGCAAAAACATGGAGCCAACCCAGATGCTCATCAAAAGTGGTCTGGAAGAAGAAAATGTGGTCCATGTACACAATGGAATACTACAAAGTCATAAAGAAGAACAAAATCATGTCCTTTGCAGAAACATGAATGAAATTGGAGACCATCATTCTAGCAAGTAAGACTAGAAACCAGTCTCCTGCCTCTTTCAGTTTTTGGTCTTCAATTCTGTCCTGTTACCGAAAGATTATTTACTGAGTGCTATAATATTCCACATTTTCTTGCTCATAAACTGGTCCTAAACATTGGGCACACAAACAAAAACAACACCAGGCACTGCTAAAGGAGAGAGGGATTGTGGGGAGAAATGGGTACCCATCACCAATTGGGTACCATGTCTACTACTAGGGGGAGGGAAGGCTTGCTTGAAGTCGAAACCATACCTGCATGCAACTTGATTACATGGTAATCCTCACATGTATCCCACATTTAAAAAATAAAAGGTTCGGTGGCTCAGACAGTAATCCCTCACTTTGGGAGGCTGAGGTGAATGGATTGCCTAAGCCCGCGGGTTCGAGACCCAGCTGGGCAACTTGGCGAGACCTCATCTCTACAATAAATCAAAAAATTAGCTGGGCATGATAGCGCTCACCTGTAGTTCCAGCTACTTGGAAGGCTGAGGTAGAAGGATTGCCGGAGCCCAGCAGGTCGAGGCTGCGGTGGCCTGGAGGTGCCACTGCAATCCAGAGTGAGACTCCAACTCGAAAAATAAAATAAAATAAAATACAATTTCAACATTAAACAGAACCCAAAAGTCATTTGCTGATTAGGGTTTGAAAATACTCTGAGTTCCCCCCAAATGCACTTTTTTTTCTGTGGGTTTAGAAACCAACCAATTATCATTACCTGGACATACCAATCAAAGATCTCCTGGACCAACCAATCAGAGCTCATGTGAACCAACCAACCAGAGCTCACCTGAACCAACCAATTAGAGTCAGTGCTCACTTGCCTTGGCAATGGGGACCTCAGCTGTATCACAAAGCAGAAGGAATTGTAGCAACTCT